AGAGAGAGAGAGAAGCGAATGGAACTTTAAAAAGCTCCTCTTTTCTCCAAAATGGCTGTGTCCTCTTGCACTCCGATTAGGAGCCGAACCTCCATCTTACTTTGCCTTGTAGGGAATGAGCCCATTTCCATCCGGGAACCTGGCTGTCTTAAACCTAGAGAGGGAATCCTGAATACATGGAAGGAAATGGGATGCAAAAGTTCTCTCCTATGAGCACGAAATGAGCAGGTCTTCCTCAGCCTCCCTCAACTACTCTATATTTCAACTTCTAGTTCACCCCAGTGTCACCTCAGACCTTCAAATAGATCCTCTTCATTGATACCTCTTGGACCATTCATTTATTCTGTGTGCAGAAGGGGAGCAGATGCTGCAGTGTATCATTAACCCACAGACTCACCCAGGGGTGCCGCAGATCTGCCAAAGCCTGCCAAAGCATTGCATCACTAAGTAAATCTGGGAACTGTGGTTCTGAACTATAAGCCATTGTTTGGCAATTGATGTAATTTATAGGTCCTACCAATTATTTGTATCAACATGTTGTTTATCAAAATGAATAATCTACCCCTTGGCTTAGTTCGCTCTGGTGTGTTCGCTCTACTGCTGAGAGTGCTAACGAGTGAACCCGCTTTGCTCACTCACTGTTTGATTCACTACCTGTCAGGCTGCTCTGTAGCTGTTGATCGCCTCATTTTACAATTGATAGAACTGTTTTTCAGTTAATATCACAATGAGGTACTGAATGGGTCATTGCTCTACCTTCAAGGCCCCAAACCTAAGCTGGCAGAATTTTTGCTGTTCATATACTAGAAAAATTAAATAAATATTGAGTACTAATCAAAGTAAATTGGCTCAAAGCATTTTCTCATCTGACATATTTTCATGTTCTAGGATATAGCCGCTGTGATAATTAGTTTGATAAACACCATCATGTCCAAGCCCTGGAAAAGCCTGAAACACTCTAAAAAAAAAAAAGCAACTGAGCTAAGACTCACAGAATTATTGAGGTATGACCTAGAGATCAATCAGCTCTCTCACTGTAGTAGAGGAAACTGAGACCTAGTTTCAGTAATTCAGGAAAGTGAATCAGTTTGCCCATCACAAAACTAGTGGCAGAACCAGGCCTGAACTATAGTCTCCAGACCCTAAACCAAAAATTTTCATTACTACACCTACTGTGTGAGCAATATCTCTTCTCAGGGTCCTAAATTAATCACGGGTTTATGACGATACTGATGGCTTTTTTCGCAGAGCTAACCACACCTCACCTCTTGGAACGTCATGAAGCTGTGTTAGTGTTCCCAGCTCACTTGGATAATTTCACCACATTTAATTGGAACTGGCAAAATTCCCCTCTTCCTCTGGGTGGTGGGATTTCCAATCAAAAGGTTGTCATCATCAAAGAGACATAGTGGAGCGGGGGATGCGGGTGGGGTGTCACCCACTCACATTCATCTCTCAAAGTTACTCAAGACCTGCCATCCATCACTTTACCTGCTCCTGTCTGGGCTGCTGTGGGAGGGAGCAGCATCCCCTGTAGAATGCTGTCAGAGCTTTATCACAAGGTTTTCCAAGTGTGGGGACTAATCTCATCTCATCCTATCCCCCAAACCTCCTGTCAGTATCAGTGGCTGCTTGAGGTTTCTCACTTACTCACAAACTTATTAGCTGTGAATAGCTGCTAGGGACTGTATTTGCATTTGATATCTTCAGGGGCATACGTGGTACCCACCACCTAGAATGTGCCCAGTAAAGGTGCTTTTTGGAATGTTTTGATGACAAAACAAAAATTAGAAACATTTTGTTTGAACACAGTATACTCTACCACAAAGCAATCATGCCCTTAATATTCCTCTGTAATTTGCCAAATCACTTATTGCTTCCAAGAGTTATTACAAAGAGAAAAATCATGAAATGCAAGATGGGAAGATGAAAGAGAGAGATTTCGCAGTGTTTAAGTAAGAGCAAGAAATAGGGCTGGTTAATTATAAAGGAAAAGGAAAAATATTATGGAGCTGTGATAAAAAGAAAAATAATGACTTGAGGGAAGAAAGAGGGGGGGAAAAAGCTGTGTTCAGAAAATAATCATGTGCTGGAAATATCCTTTTCCAAGAAAATTTGACACAACCCAAATGCCAATCAATGATCAAGACTGTGAAGGTGCCATAATTTTTAATGTCATAAAATCTATCCTTTTCTGAATTCTCTGTGTATGTGTGTGGTGTCTGCATGTTTATTTTAGGAAAGATGAAAAAAAAGACACACACAAACTGTGGATGTCATCATTAAGTAGGAAAGGCCCAGTATTTGGAGGCCCAGTGTTGTAGGAGCCACTTCCTGAACCACCACAAACAAGTCCACGTCAGCTCACCAGGAGTGCACTGATTACCAGTGCGACCACGTGGAAAACTTCCCTGCTGCCAAGCTAGTCATTGGAACCTGGATAAGAAAGTGACAACTGAGCAGCGGGTATAGGGTATAAGTTCAGAGATGCAGTAAAATTAAAGGGGAAGAACTAAAAGGGAGGGAAAGGTGGTAAATCACTCCATCAGTCTCCTTAGCAAAGTAAAACGGTCCCCCTGCCTCCAGTTCCCCTGTATATTCTAAATCTCTTCCAGGGACCATCAACAACCTTTTTGTCTGTGTTCTAAATACAATAGGTGTTTTTCAGAAGCGACCTTAATGCTCTACCAGCTGCATTCCTCACTACCAACTCTCTCCCTCCTTTTGTGACCCCAGTTTTCCCCTCCTACCTCTCTGGGAGCTCCCTTTTATTCTCCTCCAGGCCCCATCCTTGACTTTGGGAAGTGTTCAGAGGATCTGTCCTACCTTCTCCTCTCGCCATATCACTCTCCTAATGAAATATTATTCCCTTTCCTACCCAAGGTACCATCTTTACGCTGGTGACCCTCAAATCTATCTCAAGCCAAGATCTTGCCGCCCTGGTGTTCCCACTGCTCACTGACTGCCTTCGTGTGAAAGAGCCCTGGGGATCCACAACCCCAGGAGTCCAGACTACTCACCCGTCTCCCTCTGCCACGCTGCCATTCACGTTACCGCTCAGCGAACAGCCCATCCTTCACCCACGTAACCCGGGCAGGCTTCTGAGTAGCCATACTGATTCTTTCCTCTTCTTCAGATCACAGATATTTACTGAGTGTCAACATGCATCAGAAACTGTGCTGGGTACACCTGGGATAGAACAGTAAATGACATCAAAGAGGTCCTCATCTTCACGCAGCTTACAGTTGCGGACACACAGCCTCTCGACTAGTCCGGCTGACACTGTCGCGTTGTTTCTGACCCTGCCCCCTTCGCTCTAACCCTGCCGCCGCTTTCCTGCTTCAGGAACCCAGCGTTTCCTGCCTTGTTGCCTAACTGCTTCCCAGCTCTTGCTTCTGATTCAGGGCTTGCCTCTCAAAACATTTCCACAGTTTAGGGAGAGAAACCCTAAAGCAATCTTACCACACTGTCTGCTTCACTTACTTCAGTGGCTCCTCACTGCCCTTAGGATAAAGATAAACCCCATCGTTAAATGGCCTATAGGAAGGGCTTGGTCAAGCCCTGGGAAGGAAGACGACACAGGGTCCCTTCAAACCCAGTCTTTAAACACTCATTCAACATTGTCAATCAGGAAAAAAGGAGTCTATTAATAAAAATTGAATACCCATTTATATCTAAAGTTAGGAATTTGTCATATACACTGACTATAATATAGCATCTTTTTAACCCACATGTGTGCTTCACACATACACAAAAATGGGTTCTGCTTTACATTCTGACATGTTATGTAACCTACTGTTTTTATTTTCATTTTGTGGATATTTTTCCACATCATTAAGCATTCTTCTACCACATCACTTCAATTTCAATTGCACAGTGTTTTACTGAGTTGTTTATTTTTAAATTTGATATTTTCCAAAGTGATATATGCACAAGTTAAAAAATCAAACAGTGTTAAAGGATTTATAATAAAAGCAACATCATGCCATGTTCCCACTTCAGCCCCGGTCCCCAGAAGTAACCATTTAAGAACATTTCAGATGTTGTTTCTCTTAATTTATCTCTGTATTTCCAAATAACATGGATATAACACTTTTCATTGATTTATCTGTTTTATCTATTGACTGGCAGTGTGATATAGTTAATCATTCAACAAATATGTATTATTCATCTACTGTGTTCCAGGCACTGTCCTAGGAAATGGGAAAAACAGAAAGATTACTGCATTCATGAACCTTAAATTCTAAGAGAAGGGCAATTACAAAGCAAACAACCAAATAAAACAATTTAATATACTACCTGCTACACAGAAAATAAAACAAGGTAATAGAGATTAAACAGACTGACTTCAGGTAGGGTGGTACCTTGCCAGTGGGTTTCAGCCTTGGACAAGTTCACTATGGATTCAGTGAAACCAAAGAATGACAGTGGAACGTTCTTGGGGTAAAAGGGTTATACCTGACTTTATTCCCGCACTGGCAAGTCAATCACTAGAATCCCATCCTCTCAGAGCCAATCTGCATGCAGCGATCCAGTCTCTGCATCTGGGCGGCTCTACCCCCGCAGCCGTCTCATCCTCTATTCTCGGTACTGCCAACACTCCAGTCTCGTCTCTGCTCTTTTGCAGCCTTGCAGCTGTGCCACTGTGTTGCCTAGAGCACTGGGCAGAGCTCTTTATGTAGAGTCAATAACAACGTATTGCCCACATGTGTGTAGTGAGCCAGCCAACCAGGGCCAGGTGAGAATCCTGGCCTCAGGAACCTTCACTTCATTCACAGGTGGTCAAGAAAAGTTTCTCTGAAATGCCATGTGAGTTGAGCCGCATAGTGAAGATCTAGAGCAAGAGCTGTAGTAGTTACGATATGGGTTGGATGCATGTAACAGACCCTATAACAGCGGTTTGAACAAGTGAAGTCTATTTTGCCTTATATAACAGCCTGAGGGTAGGCCATCCAGGGGTGTAAGTTCCTTCTATTTTCTTGCTCCTCATCTGTAAGGTCTAAGATGACTCCACCACATCTACCTTCCCAACCCCAGGGTGGAAGAAGAAGGGCACATCTCTTCTCCCTGACTCAGCAGTTGTCTATCTCTTCTGCTCTCATACTTTTAGCCGGAACTTAGTCACACAGACACACCCAGCTGCAAAAGAAACCACTTAAAATGCTGGTTTCCCTTCTGGGCAGCCAGGCACTGGACTAAAGTCCCATTATTGAGGAAGAAGAGGAGAATGGGTATCAGGGATCAACTTATTTTCTGCCAAAGGAACACTTTATGACGAGGAAAGATCAAGGCAAAGGCTCTGGGTAGGGAAAGACCTTGACTTACCTAAAGAAGAGAAAGAAGGCTAGTGGTTAAAGAAGGGGAAAGTAGGTGAATGTGCGACCAGGGGGCAGACAAGGAGCAGAGAAAAGATCTGTAAACCATGCTGAGGAATTTCACTAAGCAATTGTAAGCAATGGGAGAGTTTTCAGCAGGGAATTGAGTCAAGCATTCTTTCTCACATTTCCCCTTACTCTAATCTTTCATGGCACTATATCACTGATTTTGATGAAATCATTAACCACCACTTACATCATCACAAGTATGTAAATATTGTTTATTGCAGAGCCGAGTAGTGTACTAACCTTACAGTTGCTCTCTTGTATAGCTTTTAGTTTGTCTCAAGTTAACAATATCATGTGTTTCCACTTACATAATTATGCACACATATGCACACACATACACAGCTTCAATTCACTCCAGATTCTCCATATCATCTATTGTCATTCTAATTTACTTTTTTCTGTCTTCTAGAAATTTATTGAAATCACTCATCCACTGATAAGATTGTTCTTGTGAATCTATTTCTTTTAACATCTTTACTACCATGTTAATGACTCTTAGCATGGAGAGGAGAAAAATAAGCATGATCTATCCATCAATTTGAGTGAAATTCCATTCACATTTTAGCTTACAAATTTTCTCACTTTACAATAATATTTAACTTGGTAATATACACGGGAAATGAGACTCCCTTTTTGACATTTTCTGAGGTTGCAAAAAAAGATTCAAAGGTTTCCAGTATGTCTTGGTCAGGTTGTTCCTTTGAACGTGACTGAATGCCAGGAGGGCAACAGCTTTAATTGGGCTGTACTTCTATCTTTCAACTCCCAGCTTAGACACTGCCTCTGCCCACACCATCCATTTCCCTTACATTGATTTCTTGTTTACTCTGTATCTTCCAGTGGCCCTGTAAATGTATGCATCTTTGCCTTCTGGTTGTTTTTGAACTAGTTATTTCCAGTTATTACCCAAACTACTTTTGTGAACTATTAAATATTTCTTGGATATATAGATGCTATTCACCTATTCTTTGACAGGAAGCTTCTACTCATAACTATATTTGATTATTATTTTTTTAGATTATTGCCATGCTTAGTTTTATCTTCGTATGTGTATCCCGATCGTACTTGTGTTTACAACCCCACTTCAAATGCTACCTGGCCCCTGAATATTTCCCTGAGGAATCTAAGCCCCTTCCTCTGCTCAGCACAGTCAGTGTCTTACACATAATTAGCCTCCTGTAATGAATAAACTGAGTTATCCAGTGACGATTCAAATAAACTGTTTTATACCATGTATTTTTAAAAGATCAAGTTTCTATCATTAAATATTGAGCAGCTGAAAAGACTAGCGTGGTTAACATCCAGCACCATTCCTAGCCTAGAAGAAGACATGTAGCAAAAGGACATTTAACGTTTTATTTGTTTAAACTGTTTATTTGGCACTGCAAGGATGATGTAACCAAACCCATCTGTTTCCTCTTGTCCAGCGATTTCAGATGGTGGCAAAAAGAACTTTAGGCTGAACTTCTAATGACTTCCAACTTATCACACCTGTTCTTTGTCAGAAACTTGTTAAAAATTTTAATACAGATGAATAAATTACTAGGACAATCTGGAATAAGTATAAAGTTCTTTTATAAAACTCAACAGCTTTAAAACAAAAAGATAAGTTTCTTGGCTGATTATCTGTTCCCATGGCATGTGAATAGCTGAATTGTTTAAAACACTATGCTTTATTATGTACTTAAAAAAAAGCTTGATGTTAACCAGGAATTATATAACTGTAGGATTTAGGATTAAATGGGACACAAGTAAGTTATTCTTTCATTATCCAACTTTCAGGGAAGATCTTAAATACGATGCTGCAATTAAAAAATTTTTAAACTGGGTAAAGATTTGAATTTGTATATATTCACATTAACATTGCGGGTCATTTTATAAATGGCATTGCTCATGTCAGGTCAGCTGTTGTTTTCTAACCTGATATTTAAAACCCTCCTATCTCAAGTCTTCCTTTCCAACTCGTACCTCTGAAGATTATTTTGCTTCCTTTCTGCAAGCTGAGGCCTTAAGTTTGTTTTATCTGTATGGTATATAACCACTTCGTGATACTTGGAATGCAGTTCTGCATTTTAAATTTATCCTGTTATTAATTCAAGTTTGGTCCAAATTTTCATTAGACCAAAGTTGTAGGCATGTCATTATCAAATGTATCATTTTCTGGCAAATCAAGGGCAGAGTCTATAAAACGGATTGTTTTGCTTAGGTTTAAATAATACATTTTTGTACATCCATGTAAATGAGCTTTCTGTACAATGATTCTTTCAAAACAGATATAGTGAAAAGATGCTCAACATTATCAGACATTAGGGAAAGGCGGATAAATGAGATGCCACTTGAGATACCACTTCACACCAACCAAGATGGCTGTAATCAAAAAGGTAGATGATAAAAGTTGGTGAGCAATGTGGAGAGTTGGAATCCTCCTGTATTGTTCGTGGGAATGTAATATGGAGGAGCACTTTGGAAAATAATCTGATGGGTCCTCAAAAAGTTTAAACACAATTACCATATGGCCCAGCAATGCCACTTCTAGGTAATACCCAAAAGAAATGAAAATAGATGTTTACCCAAAAACTTGTACAAAATGTCAGGAGTAGCATTATTCAGAATAGCAGAAAGTGGAAGCAATCCACATATCCACCAATAGATGAATGGATGAACAAAATGTGCTATTTTCATACAATGGAATGTTTTTTGGCCATGAGAAGGAATGAAATGCTAATACAAGCTACAACATGGATGAAACTTGAAAACGTTATATAAAGTCAAAAAGCCAGTCACAAGAAAATCATGTATTATGTTCCGTTTATGTGAAATGTCCAGAATAGGTGAATCTACAGAGACAGGAACATTAGTTGTTGCCTATGCTGAGGGGGTAGATGCTGGTGGGGAGGGGAAAAGACTGGGGAGGAACTGCTAATGCATATGGGGTTTCCTTTGGGGTGATAAAACTAAAATTGATTTTAATGATGGTGCACAACTCTGTAAATAATATAGTACCATTGAATTGTTACACTGAAAATGGGTGAATTATTTGTTATGTAAATTATATCTCAATAGAGGTATTTTTTAAAAAAGAATAACAAACCAGAATTCAGCAATCTTTCATGGATAAAAGATAGTCTGATTTAGCAAAACAAGGGCATTTGCCCTTTATTCCTCTTCCAGACACTGTTGCTTTTAGTTCATTTACAGTTTTATCTGCTTATCCCATGTGATATGTAATCAGAGCCCAGAGCCTCAACAGGAAGTCTATAACAGTTCTTTTAAACAAACAGTTTAATAACATTATCTAATTGTGCATTAAAGCACTGCTTTGATGCCATTTTATGATCTTCAGGTCTTGTTTTCCACTTTGAAATAACAGAAGAACTTATACGGATAATGTAATTTGACTTTGTGAAATTTCTTCATTGAAAAAACATCTATCATATTTAGGACAAAGCAAATAGTGTTCTGAGGTGTTTTTAAATCCCTGTGTAATCTACAATAGCTATATGGGGATTTAAACCACAAAACACAGTGCCAAACCTAAGAACAGCACTTATATAAGCCAAATCTGATTTAAATTAAATGAGCTTTTTCAAGACCAGTTCAGTTGATCATTCATGAAATTTGTTTACTGTTTGATGTTTCTAAATTAGTTTCACCA